GGTCCGTGTCGTTTTTTGTGCAAAGGTTTCAAAGTCCTGTTATTGCTAATAATTTGATGCTGATCTGTAAATATATTAAGTATTTCCTTATAAACCAATAGTAAGATTCTCAACCGTTCTAATTTAAGTTAGAAAGGTTTTTTCTGTAACATTTCTCATAAAATTACTAGTTAATGTTTCTAAAATTACCCCTGTATTCTTGTACTATTATGACATTATTCTCGTAATAGAAATTGTGGCCTGGCTCTAATGTTCAAAGTCCAAATAAGTAGAAGGTGTCAAACAAGATGGCGGCGCTTGGTGCACTAACATCACTTTGAACTAAGAAAACCTAAAGAGTGCATTGGTAAAAAATAAAAATCCTGATTCTCTAAAAAGTTAAACATTCAAAAGCCAAAAAAATTGGTTAATTGGTAAAAAATCTTTACTTAGATGCTGGTCGAGACCCGAAGAAGAACTTGCAGCTCTAATTACAATGAGCGCAGCAAGGCGAGTATAAATACTTTAACATGTCAGCCGTGGCGCAGCTAATTCATCAGGAATTAATCAGAGCAGGTGGACAGTTTGGGAATAATTGTTAAAAACTTCCAGGAGATTGGACAGCACACGTCAAAACCTCCTGCTGCAATCCTCTTTGATCAGCACGATTACTCAACCCATCTCCTCCTCACATCAGACGCTGCAAACACAGGGTGACGGGGCGTTGCTGCGTCTTTGTTCCACTTCGCAGGACGCACCGCGTCCCCCTTCGGCGTGGCGAGAGGTTGCGCAGGGACATGACCGTCTTCAGCGAGTCGTTCTCGCCTCGTTTGTTTGCACTCTGCTCGCCCTCCAGCCCCTCTGCGTTTCACCTCTGCACGGATTAATGACTTACAGTATGAATAGAGCGGCCTCTGCCCAGGCTTTGAACGTGTCTGAATAATGAGTGGATGACATCATTTAGTCATTGATCAGCCTCATTCAAAGGTCAACGTATTCTGGCTCCACAAAGAGCGTCAACCGGTTGTGAAGCCCTGGGAGAGGAGGGACAGTCGGGACTCGGGTAAGGAAGCATCTGGCTCTGTGATCAACTTAAAGTCAAAACGTCAGACTGCTTGTTTGGTTTTCCTGTAAAAGTGGAGCAGCTTCAGGGTTTATTTCACCCTGCGTAGCCACTTCATGCAGAATGAGCAGGCTCTTAAAGGACTCTCATTAAACTCCAGGTCATAGTTCCCCCTATTGAGCAGGTGAAATAATGACTATGAAGGACTGTTTGAGCATTTCCTGTAGACTGAATGTGTTTCAAAGGCAAAATACCCCTTAGAGATGCAAACATTTAATAAACTTACGATTTATTGTCGATTAATGGTTTATTAGATAGAAATAAGTGAATTTTTGTGAACTTATAAGGTCCGCTTTGACCTTCTGTGTTGTAGTTTGGCCGCCGTCCAGCAGAGGGCGTCGCCGGTCATTTTTAAGAGGCGTCACATAACAGGGAAGAGAGTCCGGTTTGGGATGAAAAATGCACGTTTCCGGTTCCGTTTCGAAATGTAAACAAACACTCAACAAGCTTCTTAGGTTTGACGGAGGAACTTCAACTGATGGGACGGAGTATTTTAGAGCCGTTATTAATTAATGTTGCTCATGGAATGACGTTTAATATTCCTTCAACAGCAACAAGCAGAGGTGGGGAAGTACTCAAAAGTTGTACTGACTAGCATTACTTAGATATATTTTTACTCAAGTAAAAGTAAAAATCCAATCCAAGAAATTACTCAAGTTAAGAGTAAAAATGTATTTGGTACAACGCTATTCAAGTATTGAGTAACTGATCAAATCATCAATCATTTATTACTTAAAAATTACATAATTTGTATTTTCAGTACAACATGACAATAATTCATATAAGTAATGAAAATAATCAGGCAAAATAATTTTTTTTCAGATCAGTTTCTTTCACTGTAAAGCTTATGAAACTTTAATAAAACTGCAGGTGTGTGTCTGGTGTATTTTTGGTTAAAACATTTTGTTTTTCATTCAGTGGGTAGAAAATCTAGAAATTTTACTTAAGTGTAATTTTATACTCCATAATAAAATTACTCAAATTAAAGTAAAAATGCTCCTAAAAGTAAAATTTTTCAATAAAGTTACTCAAGTAAATGTAATTAAGTAAATGTAACCAGTTACTAATCAACTCTGGCAACAAGACTGTGCTTCTGTTTGAAAAAACTTAAGAGAAAAAAAACTTAAACTTAACAGAAAAACTTAAGAGGTTCTTGTCTTATGTTTTATAAATATGTATAAGTTTAACAATGTGAGAACCACAATTTTATCTTTATTCAGTCTGTACTTAAAACAACTGACACAAAATGTTTTTTTTAATTCAACATATTGTAGAAAATGTAGGTCTTTATGCTATAGAACGACGTCTGTCCCTCTTTATAGAAGAAGAAAATGGCCGCTTATCAATAACTTTCACCCCTAACACTTATATTTTCCTGAATATATTATCTCTCAGTCTTCATACCCAACTCAGGACGGCTGTAGCTTTTTGCATTTGGGTTTTCTTGGGCTGCATTCTTCCTGACGGTTGCAGTCGAGCGCCGGCTGACTGGATTTGAACTGCCGGTGAACTCCTCTTCTGCAGATGTTCACAGAGTTTTAAGTCTGTGTTTTGCCAGATGGATTCAGGTCACTGGTGTGTTGAAAGGTGAACGTCGGTCACCTCCATCCAGAGATGTTTTTGTCTACATTAATCCATTCCTTCACTTCCTATCAGGGTTTAGTTTGTCCCTGCTAAGGGCTTCAGGAGTTTGCTGCTGTCGCAGTAAAAAGTGAGCGCAACAAAACATTTTACTGGGACGTCATCAAAACAAGCTTTTATATCTTATAGATGGAGAATGATCTAAAAGCTACATTCAAAAAGAAATTCAAGTCGACTTTTATTTAAAGAACTTGGGGAAACTGTAAGACAGCGTTTTATGAAAACAAAATTCAATCAAGGTGCGTTCACACCAGCTCTCTTTTGTCTACTTTCTAGACAAACCTTAGTTTGAGTTTGTCTAGAAAGTCTGGTTCGTTTGGGGAGCTGTGAATGCGCAATCAATCTTTGATGTGGACCAAAAAAGCAAGAAAAGTAGTGGGGGGAAAAAATAAATGGGTGCCCTGTTCTGAAAAACTAAAAAAGGGAAATAACCATAAATAAATATATAAAGGTCTTAATGTGAGCTAAAAAGAACCTGTTTTAGCTACATGCTATCGAGCTGGGCTAATCGGCCCCCAAAAAAGAGACATCTGTGATAAATTAGCATAATTAGAGACAACAATATAAACATTATATAAAATTTAAACACATTAAAAAAGGCTTTATATATATTTATATAAGCCTCTTTTAAGTTTATCACTGTCACCTCTTCTTTTAAGAGCAGGCACAAATGCCAAAAAGTGAACTCCGGTTTGCCTGAAAACCTCGTTCTCAGTTCGGTTGAAGTGAACTCTGGTGCAGTATCAATGCTAAACTTAATAGAGACAGCTCCAAAAGCACGAAGTGGACCACAGTGCAGGGCATTCTGGGTAAAAACAACCTAAACAAATGAGCTAGTCTACCGCTAGTGGGAGTAGTGGCTTATAGTCTTTTACCAAAGACAAAAGCGAAATGCTAAAAACGGTAAAATACGACGCTAATCCATTTTTGTTTACATTTTGTGAAGAAGGAAGTTAAGCTCATGTCTTCTTCAGAGGTTTTTGTGTCGTTTCCTTCAGTTGTTCTTGGTGCAGCGCCCCCACAGGCGAGGAGGGGAACAGGTTTTCAGTTAGTTTGGCTCGTTTGACACAGTGAAGCGTGAAAGTAAAAATGTTGCAACCTTGGTCCCCAATCAAACCAAGTTTACTGGAATATCAGGTGGAAATCTACCTTAAAGGTACGCAGTTAGTATTTGGGGCAAAGGGTGTTTTTCACTAACAGCTCCCTGATCTGAAATCATTCAGTTGAAGACATGGAGAGAAAAACGGGAGACGCAGAGAGTGTGTGTATATGAAACAAACCCGACCTGGTTAGAAAACAGCCTTAGAGAATCAGAAGTGGAAAAGAGCTCAGAAAGATGTTTTGAGTCGTTTAGTTGGATGAGAGATCAGACAGAGGTTGAAGTTGTTGCTCCACCGACAGCAGCAGCATCCAGATTGTGTGGAGGAACGGCGCTGATCTGAAACGCTGCCAAACGTTGCACAACAATGGCTGCTATCTCAGGACATTTACAGCGCTGAATCATCTGGCCTTTGAGACGAGCTTACCGACACCTTTTTATTTTTTAAAGCTGCTTTGAGGCTGTCGCTCATGTTAGAAACCAAGGAGAAAAGAAGAGCGCCGGATGTGGAAATCAGAGTTTATCTGGTTGGTAATCTTTATTTAAAATGCGGAGGGAAATATTAAAATGTTGATATTAAAGTGAGGTTAAAAAGGCTAAAGAGGAAGCTTCTGGATTCGGATAAACATAAGAAAACACTACAGGATTTTCTACACTTATTTTTATGGAGTTTTTCTTGGGTTTTTAGGATAAGTTTGAGGGTGAAAGCTTCACATTATGTTTTCACACTAAATCCTATCAAGTACTTTTGGTCTAGTTTCTAGATATCTTGGTACAAAACAAACTTACAAGCGAGTTTTCAGCAATTTATAAACGCTTGTTTTAAGTAAATAATTCCTCAATATTATTGAAAAAATACCAGTTCTGCTAGCAAATTATTTCACTTATAACCAGACTTTTTCCCATGCTATAAATTAAAATATCTGCCAGTGGAACTAGTAGTTTTTCATCAATATCAAGGAATTATTTGCTTAAAACAAGCTCCTGTTTCTTGCTGAAAAGTTACTTGTGTATTAGTTTTTCTCTTTTCAAGTGTACGAAGATATTTGTCCGAGAAACTAGACCAAAAATACTTGGTAAGGTTTTGTTTTTGCAGTGCAGTTTGAGTAATCACTGCGTTTATCAGCGCATGTTCCCAGGGCTGGGAAATTATCTCACCTGGTTTTCTTTGTGGGTTTCCTCTGCCAGGCTGCCGGTTTCCCCCAGCAGATTGAGATCCAGTTCGCTCGGACCTGAACACAGACAGACCCAGTCGATAACTCGTAACAGGATCACTTTAACAGCTTGGTATTTTAGGAGCAGAGTGAAAAAAGTACACCGTTTTTCAATCCGTTTAATATATCAGGACATAATAAAAATGTTCTGCTGTTTACTAGGTTAAATAAATTATTTAAATTCACTTTAATGTGTAAAAAAAATAATACACACACTCTTCAGATGAGAAAAGATGTGCATGAAGAAGTAAGTACACCCCTTACTTGTGTTTCAATAAAATTTAAGAACTGATGAACTTTATTTACTTGCAGCTACTTGCTCTTATTTATTAAGAATTTTGCAGCACAGCCTGGCAAGCTTGTCTAAATAAAAACAAGATTAGTGGAACAATTTGAACAGACGAGAAAAGCAGATTACCAAAAACTCAATCTCAAACTAACTGTAAAGCACGGTGTTGGTGGGGCGGTGAGGTAGGCCTAATTTGCAGTTTTTTTGTAAACAAATGAGTCAAACACAAGGCCGTCTATCTGAAAACAGGAAACGGCAGTGAATCTACAAAACACAGGGTGAAATACGGAGGTGGCAGCATCATGCTCTGGGGTTACTTTAATTAACATAGGACCAAAGTTTTTTTTAAATTATGAAGTTTTTACTAAATGCCACTCAGTTTTTACCCAAAACATGCTTTTAAAGTAAAGATTTTTCTGCATCACTGTGAGCAAAAATGTCTTCACTGCACGAAAAATCCAAAACTTAATCCAACAGAAATCTGTGGACAGCAGACACAATCTGATTAATTTAGAGAACATTTTCAATGTTGAAGGGAATAAATATATTATACACAGCTCTGGAGACCATTTAACATTATCAGTTTATCTGATTTTACTTTTTATAGGTATATGTTTGAGTAAAATGAACATTATTATATTATATGAACTCCTGACATGTCTCTGAAATTACAAGCAAAACTTTAGCGTTTATTTGCATAAAATGAAAAATGGTCAAAATAGGAAAAAGGTGCAGTGCTTTCAGACCTCAAATAATGCAAAGGAAACAATTTAGAAACACCAATACTAATGTTTTAACTCAGGAAGAGTTCAGACATCAATATTTGTTGGAATAAGCAGAAGGTTTTCTACGGGGTTCAGTGCAGCAGCAGCGGGCTCTTCCTTTTTTCCAGAGCTGAATGTGGGACGGAGATGAGCAGAAGTGGTAACACATTCACATTCCCTCTCCTAAATCCTTTTCTTTTCATGATCTAAAACATCTAGAATCCAAAACCATGAATCCTTTTCATTTCGAGCTGTAAAAACCTTATAAGGCTGTAACAGCTGAATGAGAAACAACATCTGGAGGCAGAAGTGCATAAATCAATCATGGCCTCCACCTGTTGTAAGAACTCCTTCACTTGTCTGCTTCCTACTTCCAGCAGCAGATAAACAGTTTTCTCAGAGCCGGAGCTTCGTTATCCTAATTGGCTCCAGTTGATCTGTTTTCTGAGACACACCTGCTGAGACCTGCAGGGCTGAGAAACATGCAGCGTGGGGCAGAAACCAGTTACATTTGCTGCTGCTGCTCGCAGCACATAACACCAGTTTTAAGGTCCTTCACTGGCTCCCTGTAGCTCAGACAACAGACTTTAAAATACTGCTGTTAGTTTATAAATTACTGAACGGGTCAGCACCACAACACATTAAAGATCTGCTGTTGTCATAGCAACCTTCCAGACCCCTCAGGTCTCCTGGTTCTGGTTCTGCTCTGCATCCCCAGAACCAGAATCAAACAAGGAGAAGCAGCATTCAGCTTCTATGCACCACAAATTTGGAACAAACTTCCAGAAAACTGTAAAACAGCCGAAACATTGAGTGCCTTTAAATCTCGACTAAAAACCCAGCTGTTTAGAGTTGGATTTTAAACGTAATCAATTACGAATTTAACGACGACACTTGAATTAATGTGATGTTTTGATTGTTGATTTTATGTTGCATGACTTTGTATTTTTATGTAATGATGTAAAGCACTTTGAAATGCCTTGCTACTGAAATGCAGTGGCGCAAAAAGTGGGTATGCAGTGCATGCAACGCATAGGGGCGCAGCACCAGAGGGGGCGCCAAAACCCCGTCTGGATGGGGCCGATTATGTTTTCCCATACACTTCAGCGCGCCTTACGCTCCTTCACTTCACGCACATAATGAGGTAAATCTAGCGCGAGTTTCATACTTAACGTATCCTTGCCTCGGGGGAGGGGGGGGAGGAAGCAAGCGTATATTTTCTACGCTGACGTTCCTTCCTTCGAGGGCGGGGGGGAGCGCCGATTTATGTTTTCGCATCCACCTGAATAATGTGCAGTTGCGCCACTGCTGAAATGTTCTGTACAAATAAAATTTGATTGATTGATTACTCAATTACATTACAAAACATTACTTTTAGGAGTATTTCACCACATTGCACTTTTTACATGTAGTTCAGTAATTTTATTATAAAGTATCGCTACTTTTAATTTAGAAGATTTATGGATTTTCTACCCACTGAATGACAAACAAACATGTGTCTACCAAAGATTCACCAAACACGCCTGTAGTTTTGGTTAAAGTTTCATATGTTTTTAATTGGAAGAAACTGATTTGAAAAAAAAATTATTTTGCCTGATTTCATTTTTTTTTACTTGTATGAATTATCATCATTTTGGTCCTTAAACTGATTGATAATTCAATCAGTTACTCAGTTCTTGACTTTTTACTTGATACTTTTTTACTCTTACTTGAGTACAATCTTTGGGTACTCTTTATATATATCTATATATATATATATATATATATATATATATATATATATATATATACAAACACACACACAGAGGAACTGGAAGACATTTTAAATATCCAAATTAAATAAACAAAGCAACAACTAAAATTAATTTTGAAGTCTTGTTGAAACCAAAGCAACAGACTGAAGATTTTTATCATTCAATTTTTGGTAGAAAAAAAGAGAAACGATAAATCATGCCAATGGAATATAGTGAGTTTGTTTCAATTTATCATGCGATTACCTGATTTATTGATTATTGTGACAGGCCTTGGTTTGCATCTATTTGAGCGACAGAAATCAGGCGAATTGCTGCACCTTAAAAACCCAGACAGCTGCTCTGGTTTCTAACTGGCAGATAAATTCATCATCATCTTCTGTGAATTTAGTAAAACTCCTCCGCCTAACAGTTCAAATTATGCAGCTTCAGATGTTCAGACGAAAACTAATCCAGAAACGTTTCCCCTTTCGGTTTTTGATGCATAATAATAATAAAGAGCTTCGTGATGCAGTGGAGTACAGAGTCAGCAGCCTGTCAGGGTTCATCTGGCTCCGTCAGCGTGGAGACGGCTCTGCTTTTACCGGGTGGTGTCAGGTGGGGGGGGCTCGTCAGCGCCACCTCGGCCCAGAACTCCTGCTGCTGCCAGAACCAGAGAGGACAACGGCCTCGTTTCTTCTGGGAAACCGCCACGAAAATACTACAGGACGATTTGTCCTTAGAGTCTATTTTTATATTCGTCATCAACTCATCACTGAAACGTGTGAAGCTCATTCTCCGTGAATCCAAGCTTTTTATGCTGCACAACATTCCACGTCTTTATTTTTACTTCTACATCCCTGCTGCGAGCGTTTTAATCTTAGAACTGAAGCCAAACCAAACTAGACGCAGAAATTTCTTATTGTTTTTAGCAAACATCCAAACCTGCAAGCTTCAGCGTCGCTGGCAGACAGCAGCTAATTACCTCCTGCCGGAGGTGGAAATCTGCTTTTAACGAGGCATTTTTAATTTGCAGAGAATAACCTGTTTGTTTTGAAGAGATAACAGAAGGAGGTGAAGATATTTGGAAACATCCAGAGAAAAATTAAAGCCCAAGATCAAACAAAATGGTCAAATATTCAGCATTAATTACTTAAAACTTATAAACTTACAAACAAAGCTTGTTCTGCTAGCCTTGAAATAAGACAAAACTAACTATCAACTAACTTTACAGCAAGATATGAGAGCTTGTTTTAAATGAATAATTCCTTAATCTCGATGAAAAAGTGAAATAGTCTGCCAGTGGAACTAGTTTACAATAATTTCAATAGTAAGAAATTATTGACTTACTAGTCAGAAATGTTCAAGTTTGTTTCTTCAGTCCTATTTCAAGTGCACTAAAATATCTGCACTACCAAAAAAACCTGGTAAGATTTGTTTTTTAAGTGCGCTCGTTTGAAACACTGAGATTCTGCCCTCTTCAAGTGCAACATATTCACAAATTGTGTGAATATGACACAATTTGAGCTGCATTTTGTTTATGGAAGTACTTTTTAAAACTGCAAAATATGTGAAGATGTTACCATCCATCCCCTGCATCTGTTTAGTTTTTAACATTTGCGTCATGTAGCTGACTGCTCTCATTTTGGGGGGAATGGAGCGTCAGTTTGCTGTCAAGTAGCTTGAGGGATTGTCAAGGATTGAAATGAGAATGGGCTCAGAGTCTCATTATGTGCTCAAACCAAACGATCCGACACACAGACCATTCAGAGAAACAGACATGTGGGTGGTTTGTGGGTCAGGCTAATTCTGAAATCCTGAAACAGCAGCCGATTCTGCAGGGATTTTCTCTCTAACCCGGGTCCTATCCTAAACCTTTATCTTCAGATTACTCTAAATAGATTCACCATCCAGCAGCATTGCTGTCAATACCAAAACTCTGAACGTGCTTTTGTCACAAGCTGCTTTTATGTCACCTTCATGGTGACTTTTCACCTCCTAATGAGAATCTGCCTCATTTTGAGCAATAACTGTTTCTCACTAAATTGCAGAAGCTGCCCATGATGCTCAGCATTTAAAACAAAGAGGAACGGCAGCATCATTGTTTCTTTACAGTAACAGAAGCATTGCGGCTGCGATGGAGTGGAATTAAAAGTTATAGATCCGATTTTTAAACAGTTATTTGGAGATTTCAGAAGGTTTTACCATCTATGACATCAGAATTAGGTTAAAATG